AAAATACCTCCCAATGGAGGTATTGGGAGGTAAACAGAGTTGCCAGGATACACTGAATATTTATTTCAACATTAAAATGGGACAAATTCACAAGGTTTGGTTATACAACGGAATTATCGATAGTAAACTTTGCATTGTTTCGTGGTTATACACTTGGTCAAAAATATGAGTTTTTCTACAACCCAACATAGTCCTTTAAAGTAAGAAGGCACAGGCTTATTGTTCAGTTATCTTTATTCGTGTTGCCAAAAGTGCCTTCCATGTATCGCATTCTAGTACTATTTGCTGAAGGTAAAAAAAGATATGCCTTAGAGTATTGCCGTGGCTCACAAAATCCTATCATTGATATCAATGAATAGTGGTGTGTGTCATTATATATGGGACACATTTCCTTATGTTATTTCACCAACTTTAGTTTTTGCATATTATTATGCTCATTATCAGTATATATGTTGTTACATATTTACATTATATCTTAACCAATTTTGCATTACTTGAATATCCTGTACTAGAATACGTTTTAACAAAATCAGAGGATGTTCAAAGTCAAGATTGTTGTAACAGTTTCTATATAATTTGAAATATTTTTGTACCAGCAAGAGTTACCTCTCTTTATATTCTGCTTTCGTGAAATTGGCTCCACCTATTAATTTTCGTCTTTTTCCGTAATAATTCCATATATGGAAGTTGCAAAATCGTTTACAAATGTTAATCGCGTTAGAATGTAAAAGGAAAGTGTGGTGTTGTAAACCTGAGTGTGTCAAGTTGATGCAGTTACATTGTCAACGTCATGATGCACAGCATTAAACGTATTGTGTACGTTCTATCGATTACATTTCTACATGTCGCAAATTTGAAGTTATACATTTATAAATACAGTTTGCAATTTATCTAAGTTGCATGTTAACAGCTTTCATTTTATCAAATCGAGATAATCAAAATGCTTAATACCAGTGCAGTATGTAACTCTCGGATCGACAATTAGATTTTTACTAATCTGTTTAGTAGAACCGAAGTATGCATTGTCAAGTTTCAAAAGCTGGATTTTTGGCAACGAATAGCCTCTATAGAAATATGCGCCGCAGCCTGCGGTACCTTTCCCGATTTTTATTATTCAGAGAATCTTGATCGTAGCTGAAGGGAAGAAGGGATCCTGAAAGTATCATGCATATTTATTAGCTTGTGACTTTTCAGGATCCCTTCTTCCCTTTACCGATCTGATAGGATTAGTGTAGAAAGATCAGTCGGTAACGCACCTGGTATTTATGGACATAATACCTTGTGTTTGTCAGGTGGAATTCGCCATAAAGTACATGAATGTTAAAAAAGTGTACATCTTTTTTTTTTTTTTTTTTTTTTGAAAAAGATACTCGGCCGAAGTAAAACTGGTTAACTTACATATGTTAGTTCTGAGTTTTCCATGCAAAGTCATATAGAAATTTTAGCAAAGCATGCATAACAAGGACATAATTTCTTGTAGGGTTATCAATCTTGAAAAAATGGAACACTTTAAGACATATGTGTTTCTAAACGAACCTGTCTTGAACTCAATTTCTAACACCAACATCATCGCAGTCGGTAGGCAATTATTTTTATTAAATATTTGATTGATATGTAAAAAGATATGGATAATATAAACATTATATCAATTTAACACATCAGTTATCATAAATCACACCATAAACTTGGGTTTGTTTATGGGTACCTGATAAGTTCTGATATTATTCTCCTTATTTTTGGACAAAATCTGAAACTCAAATCTTGAGTAACTTCTTACGTAAAATAAACTGTTTACTAGAAAATGTAATGAGATCTGAGAGCAAGAAGTATTGTAAACAGAACTTGAATATCTGAGCAATTTAACAAGAAAGTTAAAGAACTATCCTGGATATTTTATTTTAGAAATATCCTTTACATTTTATTAGACGGGTTGCACAGGGGCAAACGCACCTGTGCAACCCGGGTTATACTATGGTGAATGTCGGGCGGACGGGAAAAAAATTTCATAACTACTTATCACAGCCTCTTGATATTTGGCATACAGCATTAACCCGTGGTCCCATACCGTGGGACTCAATTTCAGTTCTGTTACTCGTCAACTTCCTGACTTACATTAATGGTCAATGATCCATTTTTTCGTAACATTACGGCCTCATGATATTTAGTATACTAATGCAACCAGGTCTTTTCTGTCTTAGACCCATTTTCTTATAATGGCAAGAACTATACTTTTTAGTTTAAAACTATCTAAGAATGACAATAACTCTCCTTTGCAATTTATTTTAGAATAGACAATGAGGTTCCCAAAGATTATACAGCCTTGAGGAAATGTAACTGTACCTGATAAGAATTTCTAATAGATTGCATTTATTAATTTATTGTCTGTTTACCAAATAATACCACCATTACTTTGTCTCAAATTCATGAGCATGTAGGGCATGATTCCAGGAACAATAATTTCTGCTTGCTGAACGTGTTTTTACTAAAAATTAAAAAGATTACAAAAGTCTATTCGCTTTTGTACGGTGGCATAATGGTGCTGCCACAAATATTTTATTTACCACGTGCGCACTCGATGTCCACTTAGTGCGCATATATAAGCTATTACGTGCGCACGTAGTAGCTATCGCGTGCGCACGTGATAGATAAAATATTTCTAATGTTCCCACTATGCTACCGTACTTTTGACTTGTCAATAAAAGTGGCCGTTTAACTTTGCACTGGATATATTTAAATAAGTTCAATGAAAAAAGTTACAAAATATGCGTTCATTTGAAAACATATCAGAGTCTAAGAAACGATTTTGATGAATCCTGTATGTTAACACTTCTTGTACATGTATGTTTTAATCAATGTGATATATAACGTTGTGTTTTGAAAACTGACACACGAACCGCGTCTCCTGTGACCAGAATGATTGGCGTCATGGTTAAAGTGGAATAGGTGATTTCGAATGAACGATAAATAACTCACGTGACCCATAAGTATCCATCGGAATTTACCTGCAGCGTTAAATTAGACTGTCTCTATCAGAAACATTTTCAAATATCAACTGTTGGTTAAGCACCATTATAACAGACATGTACATGTATAGACAATTATATAAGGTCAGCTTGTTAATTTTTTCATGCAGATAAATATTTTTCTCTCATTTTTGTCGCTTGAAGATTATGATGCTAAGATCAGAATACTAAGTCTTCTTCGAATGTCATCATCATGTAAAGTACGACATCGGTTCTAGTATTGACGTTTAAACTATAACAGTTATCTCCATTTTTAGTTTCTGGTGTATTTAATATATTTTTACCAAAATTATTCTAGATGTATATTTCACTACAAAGAATATTATTTCTTTATCAATACCTGGAGCCCAGTATTATATGGTTTACATTTGATAACTCTTGCATCACTATTTCAAGAGTTATCTTTCGTTGAAGTGCTGTCTCCTCAGATAAATCTTAATATAATGTTGCTTTGCTCTGGTCTGTCATGTAACACCAACCTGACAGGCGTATGATACATTGCCTTAACGTGTGAAAGACAAAAGACTTGAACTTTCAAGTCCCGAGTCGCGGTTTACTTAGCAAATGAAGTGTTTGTATTGTTCTCCTCTATTTCATTAATATTGTCAATACATTCTTTGCATGTAATTGCAGAATCCAGGTAGTTTAGAGATGCGAGCTGGTACATGTATTGATGAATCATTTAAACACGTTTTTAAATGACAGACAATATTTCTTACTATATTAAATATGATGAACAAGATCAACAAGGAAAGGCGGTGTTCAATGAACGCAACTTGCGTAAGTAAGCAATAAAACTTGCGTAAGTAGTTTATTGCAGGGTACTGGCATGCGAGCAGTTCCCGTACAAAAATCGTAGTTACTTAAACATTATTTTTTATTACGCTCACTCACCAAAATTTTAATGTTACACATCACTATTCAGCTCGTCACACAAATCATGGAAATTCCACCATGTTCTAAACATAGAATAACCCTTAGTTATGAGGCCTCATATGGGGTACCGAAATTATCCATTATTTTGTATGAAGAGAAGAAGTTCCCGTACATAAAATTTAACCCATTATAATTATACAATTTTGTTATATCGGACCTATTTTTCAATTATAATTGTTGAACAGACCATTTTCTAAGAGATAAATAGATGTATTTCAGGAAATAGAGCGTAGACTAAACGCTGGTATCAATTACCCGGTACCGTTACCCCAACGCATTCTCATGCAATGGCATGCTTGTATGCATGATATTTTACGCATCAAAGCCATAAAATTATTTAATATAGTAATATTGATCAAAATTCTGATAATTAAACAAGTTTTCACCACATTGCCTACTTATCTGTAAACAGGTGGTATTAGTGGAAAACCCTTTAACAGGCCTCACGTGTAAGTATTTTAGCGCATGCGCGCAAGGACGGAATCCCCCAGAGAAAACAAGGTCACGTTTTGACAACGCACAGGTGAAAGTGATTTAAAATGAGACTTTTATACGTACTGCCGAACTGACACTTAGAATTTGTCTCTTTTATGCATCTGCTTGATTTGAAATGAATTTTTGAAGATTGCAAGTAAAAATCAAGCGTTTAAATGAAAAATACGGGTACTGCTTCTGTACGGGAACTGCTCGCATGCCAGTACAGCTTACATCAGGCATGTTGTATACGTTGATAAAACTTGTTTTACATACTTTATTGAAATTTATACGACCTTAAAAGTATAATGAGCAGGCGTTTTATCAATGAACAAAGCAATTAATGCAAAAAAAGCATCATTAATATAACACACGCCTCTATACGTGATTTTTATAATGTAGCTGATTTTACGCTACACCGCTTTATGTTCTATTCATCATTGTACGTATGCAAATAAATCGAATGAGGGTTCAACTTTTATCAGTAGTAATGGCATTTGAAGTTCTTGTGCAAACATTTACACCCTATGAGCGTATATTTTATTTACTCTTGTTTGAAATACAATACCCGTATATGACAGACACGTTAAGCATCTTTCGTTGAATATAGTATATCTATTTTCAATTAAAATATCAAATTTGGTATTTAAGGACATAGCAGGCTGAATTTCAACGTAAATTTCTCGTTAAGATTGATTTGTTTGTCAGCAACGAATCAGAAATGGTTGTAGAATTTTATTATGACTTACTGTCACAGCCCTGCCGGGCGGTTTATATCTTTTTCAAAGTTGCTGGGATACCTTTCGAGGCCAAGGAAATTGACTTGTTTAAAGGTAGGAATTTTTTTAATCTAACTGGTTTTGAGAAATAAATATATTGAGAAATAAATATATTTTATCTACATTAAAGTAAGCTTTTCAATCACATCCTAGCATGTATGAATTTCGTCAATAGAGGCAGAAAGAAATAAACGTTTTTGCATCTTGATTTGAAGCTGCTAGATTGAAATAACTGAATTTTATGGTGGCTGATTCGTTCCATGTCGTATATTTGCTCTGCAAGGCACCAGACGAAAATACGATAAACTGGAAACTTTGTCGTACTTTCGACTGCGAGCCACAAGGCGAAGGCGAAAACACGAAGACACGACAAAGTGATAATTTTGTCGCGTTTTCGCTTTTTGCTCTGGCTGTGCGGGGCGCCAAACGAAAACTTGACAAAATAACCACTTTGTCGTTCTTTTGCTATGGGTGGCACCATGCGAAAATTCGGCAGTTACTTTGTATGGCGCCCAGCGAAGCGAAAATACGACATAGCACAATCGGGCACCATAAAAGTAGTTGTTATTGTTTTTTTTCAATATTTTTGCTGATAATGTTTTTCATCTATGTACCCTGAATATCCTTTTGAATAAATGGCACGTTTTTTCTACAAACTAAGTACAAACAGATTGTCTTTACCACAGCATATATATTTGAATTATTAAGATAATACGCTCGTACGTTTTACCCAATTATGTTACGTGGATACATCGCCCATAACTACGTTTATTTGTTTGTGTAAAGAGTGTAATTATTTAAGTCGTAAACAGTTGTATACAATGGCCTTTCCCCACTCCCATTTGTAGAAGGGAATTAGTCATTGTTTTAACTTTGGAAAACGCAGAACAATAATTCACGAACACTCTAATAGTATCATCTTCTTTTCTTTTTCTTTTAATTAATCATTATTTATTTATATTCTTTGGCGCGCGGGCGTGGGGGATAATTTAAGGATTTATATCAGTACGTTGAATCCGGACCACACGCCCACTATATCTACACGTTTTGAAAAACGGGTTAAGTGTTATCTCTATTTATCAAAAACTCTAGCTGTATTTAGGTCTAAAGTTATCTTTGTATCATAGTTTGGGGACCTTTCTGTTGAAAATGTGTCAGAGTTAAATCATATACATATACATGCACAGTGCGTTAACTAGAGTACAGGTATTAGTTACCCGCACTCCAGAGCATGAACATTGATTGGCTCATTTGTGCTAGGGTTTACTTATTGTGACGGCAGAGAAAGGGAAAGCGATAGAAATATCATATTCAGATACTCGTTCATTGGTTACTTTTTTCTGGACAACACGGAACGTATTTTTATGTTTTACTATGATACAAAAGAGAACGAACATCAAAACACTCACCAGTCTGATTAATACTCGGCGCCCCCTCGTACAAATCAGATAGCCTCTTGTTTCGATGCTCTTTCTATTACTTACACCCCCTCATAAACAGGTTATTTACATTTACAAAAAGATTTGAGCTGTCAAACTGCTGGAGACTCGCCGATTACTCATAATCCTAGTCTTTACTGAAATACGACGAAAAGTTGGGGAAAATGGAAAGAAGAGAACATTATGACCGTAATCCTGTTAATGATTGAAGCATATAGAAGAAAATAAGAACCCAAATTTGTAGTTGATTATGACAATGCACTCTTTGAATCGAGATTTTCTCTAAGTGCATTGAGTGCAGCATGAGTTGGCGACTGAATTTTTTTCTACATGTAAGATTATACTGATTTCAAATATATTGATCAAATCACTATAAAAGTATAACATGCCGAATTGATTATTGGTGTATGTTGACCAGGCGAACGAACATTTAACTCATACATGTATAAGAGGTTTTATTGTTTGTTGTTATTTTTGACCAGGTGAACATTTAACTCCTGAATTTATCAAGAAGAATCCCAATAAGAAGATCCCGATCATTGATGATGATGGATTTATCCTCGCAGAGAGGTAGGCTTGCATTAGTTTCTTGTAAAAATGTTCTGAATCGCCTACACAGTGTTGATAAATAGTTCGGTGGTTCAACACCTGACACAGCTTAAAGAATGAACAGAAATAAAATGTACAGCTTAATTCCCGTCCCGTAAAAACAGAAAACACGAATTCAAGCTGTAGCTCCCCAAAACAGAGACTTTTATTGTGCCAAAAAGAAATTTGTTTGATGCCATTCAAACGGGAAAAAATCATGCCTGTCGCTTTTTTCAAGCAATTTAACTTTGCTCTGATTTATTTACTATATAGCAAAACGTGTATGTTTTTAAATGTCAATTTTAAAATTTTTTAAAAAAAAGAACACCGGGAATTTTTACCGGGAAAAATATCGCTACCGGGTTACAATTTGGAAGGAATATTTTGTTTGCCTGTGTTACAAATTCAAAGTATTTGATTTCCATTTTGAAATTTTAGTTTGTATAATTCAAAGAAAAGCAATACGTGTGGAACATTTTTGACCTTAAAGATCAATTACAGTTGTATTATTCCGCCATCATGAAGCACCAATATTGTTTGACAATAGTATTGCTAATAATAAACAGTTTATTCATTACGAGAGAAATCGTACGCGTAAAATATCAATCATCATATGCCCATATGAATTTATAAATTATGTTAATCATGTAAAGAATGACATTATTTGCACACATTGATTATACTTATCAAAAACCTTTGTATTTTATTCTGCAGCGCAGCGATCATGCGCTATATGGCGTTAAAGAACAATGTTGCCGACCATTGGTTTCCAAGACAAGACCTCCGAAAACAGGCGAAGATTGACGAGTTTATAAATTGGCAACATCAATCGGTTCGCAAGCCTTGTGTGGAACTATTCATTGCTAAAGTTTGTATACTATCTAATATGTGTCTTTTACAATTCATTTCGTTGTATGTAGATACTGGTATAGCATTAGAAGACTGATGACCATTTAACCTTGGATTAGTCCAGGATGTTCGGTTTGGTGAGATTGGGGATGGGACCCCAGGGTGCAGGAGCAGGTGGGGGTGTGTGAGATACGTGTCGGGTGTGCCTCCTTCTATTTTCGCTTATTTTATATCTTTTCTCTTAATTTTATTTAATGTATCACTCGCAAGAAAACGGTTGAGCCAGGTGAGTGTTTAGAATTGGTTATTACATGCCAAATACAATCTCTGGTTGGAAAAATAGAAGTATCCAATGTATACTAGCGTACGTCACTTATTATTACACAATAGAGAATGTTTAAAATAAATTTTAAGGTATAATGATCCCCTGATGACAATTTGCGTCTCCAGCCTCTTATGCCATACACTTAACATACTATTTTACAGTTTAGAAGCCGTATTGGTGTAGGACGATTCACCAAGCAACCCGCTGATGAAGCAAAACTTCAAAGCCTCCGAGAAGATATTACGAAATCTTTCTCACATATTGCGGACTACTTTCTACAAGACAACCAATATCTCGCCGGAGACGAGATTTCACTGGCCGACATTATCGGGGTGTGCGAGATTTACCATATTCAAGGAGTGGAAGAAGATGCGCTGTACACAAATAACGAAAAAGTTTCAGCATGGGTTGCACGTGTACGAAAAAGGCTCGAACCTGACTTTGATACTGCTTCTATGAAACTTATGGCCGTCAAACAAAAATACATTGATGCTAAGGAATAAATGAATGAATTAATGAACGAACGAACGAATGAACGAACGAATAAATGAATGAATTAATTAGAAAAGAGTTGACTTTTTGGCAATTATCATAGTCATATATTTGGGTTTTTTTTATTTACTTACAAAATACCTCAAACGAATATATGTGCAGTCAAACGTGTGTACAATATTACCTCTAAGAGAAGGGACATATATAAAATCAAAGGGCTGCAAGCTCTGTGGTATTTTCTGATCTTTGTAATCTAAATCGTACTGTATATCTGTATGTATTTTCCTGTATTAGTTTTTTTATGTACTATAAATAATCTTGCAAGGCACCAGAGTTTGATACATACGGAATTTTGCATAACTAGAGTTGCGTCAAAAAATCATTTTTTATGACTACCACACTTTATCCTTGCATATCATGGCTACTTCGTTAACAAAGACACTTAAAAATGAATTTAAAAAAAACTGCCTCGACTGGGATTTGAACTTCAGACCTCTTACACACGAAACGAGCGCGTTACCCCTGCACCACGAAGAAGTTATACAATAAATGCCTGAATAAAATCAAGTCATTCTAAATTTAGAACTTCCATTGCATTTCGGGTTTGTAATCCTTATTAATTTCGAGGTATTTTGTTCAGTTTAAAATTGAAGTAAATAATTTAGCGAAAATCTTCTCGCCCAAACAGTCCGACATGTAGAATCTTTATATTCAACTACTCGGCAGTCAGATTTATTTGTGTAGTATTCGGTAATCGACATCGCTAAAAATAGTATTTTCATTGATTAAAAGTAATTTGTGATTGTGTATTTATTGACAATTCTATTGGCCAACGCTACTTTTAAACTTTGAATGCGTTGTAATTTGTTGGATACTTGTAACAAAATAAAAAATATTTCTTTCTTTTATATCGCTAGTTTTAAGCTGTTTTGAGAACTACTTGTTGTTAGGTCTGTCGTGAAATTCTGTGTCAGAGATAGAATGCCCGCTTTGTATTTTACTGATCTTCGATCAGAAAATACAAATATAAATGTTGGTCAGCAATATTAGAAAATTATATAATGTACATTAAATTAAATCGAACAACTGAAACCCTCTTATGTTTGTAAATTCAAAGATAACGTTTTCCAAATCTCTAACTTAACTTTACTCTAATTCATGATAATTTCAAACAAGCTTTTTTAATATTTCATTTCCTATTTCAGATTGTTTATTTCCTTTAATATAAAAAAGGAAAAAAGAAAAAAATACTACATGTTTTTCTATACTTAACAAAAGTGCTAGTATTCTGATAATGTATTTGTTTTGTTCTAAAATTACATGTATTTGAGCAGTTTCCCATTATTCTTTAAATAATTAGCAAACGACAATATGCATTTCATTCAGAGAATTAATTTATGACTTGTTCTTAGGTAAAGATGGTAAACGAGATTCGTAAATTATTGAGATTTGGAGATTTATGCGTACGCACGACTCACCGCCCGATATATTTGCTGCTTGTACATATACATGTAAATATATTATAAAACCATGGAAACACTAATACTATATTGAATATTCTAAAAGTTTCAAATAGGAAAACTTGAAACGTCGGGCCCTTTTACATTATTAAATATCAGCAGTGAAATGGTGCGAAACACTGAATGTTCTTTTGCGCTATAGAAATATTCAAGGGAAACAATCACCACAAATCAATACATTAGAAGTTGATAAGTGTTGTCTCTCTTTGAATAAAGTTCATCCGTGAAATATACAGGAAAGGTGGTCTTTTAAATAGAGCACCTTTTATGCATTCCACCTTTTGCCTGTTTGAATAATGACGGGTTTACAAGTTAAATATTGAATTTTGCTTAAGCCGGTGGTAGGAGGCGTGGGAGATAGCTTACAATAACACTATCGCCCATGAACAAGTTCAATCAAACCAAGCCGGCAACTTTTTCAATTTTGTCGTGTTGGACTTTCTTTAGAATTTCTGTTTTTGTATATTATTTTGTTAAACATATTTTTACTCTGTCAAAATTCTATCCAGTCAAAAATGTTGTCATTGGTTTGATGGTGTTATTTAAAAATCAATAAAACATTATTTATGAGATTTCTTTTGTTTGATGTCCCTTGACTACGCCCCCCCCCCCCCGGAATAAAATCGACAGCCATAATGGCTACTAACGTATATCAACAAAATATTTTCATTTCTCCATCATTTTCGAAGAATTTCCTTTTTAAAATACTGATTCTAAATTACATCAGCGGCTTAGATATATTTCTTTAATAGTTCGAGTAATGAGCTAAATATGAACGGACATCATTTAAAAAAATAATAAAACGCGGGGCATGAGCTTATTTGCTGCTGGAGATTTGCCGCAAGGTGTTCAACCTGCGGATAGGTTTTATGCTGGTGATTTCGTTAGCTGCAATTGATGCAAAATCACCATGAGTTAAAGCAGCATGCCTTTAGATTCATGCTGTCATATAAAATGAAAATCTATTTAAAAGAAAGCTATTGTGTTGTGAACAATGAAAATATTTTCCATAATACAAACGGCACTTACAATCCACGTTAATTACTTAATAGAGGTAAAAATAAGCAAAAATAACCCTTATGGTATGAAATATGGTTACAAATACTATCAGTCATTAATCGGACATACATGTAAATTATAACTTGCATCTTGGAATGTTTTATTTTTTCTTTAATAGAAGTCTTAGTACATTTTTCTCAAGTTTGATTTTTAGCTCATCTGTCACAAAGTGACATGGTGAGCTATCGTGTCCGCTTTCCGTCCGGCGTCCGCCCGTCGTTCGTCCATCCGTTAACTTTTACTTCTCATAAGCCGCTAAGCAATTTCATCCAAACTTCACAGGAATGTTCCTTTGATAGTCCACTTTAAAAATTGTTCAAAGAATTTAATTCCATGCAGAACTCTGGTTGCCATGGCAACCGAAAAATAAAACTTAAAAATCTTCTTTAAATCTTTTTTAAAAAAACCGAAAGAGCTACTGCAGTAGAGCTTAAATATTTGGCATGAAACATCATCTGGTCATTGTTTTTGTCTTTATGTATATAGTAAAAACTTAAAAGATCTTCTTAAAAAAAACAACAATATTGAAGCATCGAATTTTGACGTCACCCTTTCACTTGTTAGCGTAAGATTAAAACACGCTCTACTGAAAAGCTTCCTCAAACAATCGTTTTCACTAAAGATAGTGCCAGGTTCAGCTTTGTTTAAAACTTATATATTGGCAAATAAAATTGAATTATCACTCAAATTGCTTTATATTCAATACATTTTGATCAAATCACTATATGAGAGGCTTTATTGGTTATTGTTATATTGACCAGGTAAACATTTAAATATTTATTATTGAAAACATCTGCTATGGTACGTGTAAATATATATTTAAAGTGTGCTTATTATACTACGGTATCATAAGGCAGTTGACGTGCGTATGAGTATGTACGTGCTTCCGTGCGTTTGTGCACATGCTATATAAATTACATAGTAAACTTCTGAGAAACGGTATGTTCTATTTCAACCAAACTTGGCAGGATTGATCTTTTAGAAAAGTATTCAAAATATTTGGTTCCGTGCAGAAATCGGGATAAAATAGCAAAAGAAATTATAGGAAAAATTATTATCAAAACCATAAAGGCATACTTTAGGTGTTTTACAGGCGGAATTTTGTCTGTGAACCCCTTATAAAATTGTTGAAATTAACCGAGGAGTGAAAATTTGTCACGCTCGGGTGTCATGTATCTTTCCTTTTGTATATAGAAAATCTTTTCTCTGAAGTTACAATATCTAAACTTTTATATATTAAGCTTACATCATTGTCTAATGGATCTCTATCAAATTGTTTAAATTATCGCCACAAAAAAAATATAAGCCCCGCCCGGGGTAATTTATTTCCTTATATATTTATTGAACATCTGGAAAATATAGAATAGAATAATTTTATTGAACAAAAGGCAAATGCCTGTGAGTACATATATACAAACATATAATACAAGAGTTTTTTTACAAAATAATCAGTGGCGGTCTAATTCTATATAAATCATCATAAATGTATATAATCGTAAAAAATATCAACCATCACTGCATGCAATCATTATCATTTTGCAAACTATAAGAGGCAATTGGTGAAACAACAGTATCAATCAATAAAATATAAATGCTTTTATGTAAATCACAGTTATACAACTATTATAGACATCGTCAAGTATACGTGAGTATTCAACTTCACACACGCACTCGCGCGCACACACACACACATGCACACGTATTCAATAATATTATTTAATATATCAAAATAGAGTCTTCCACAAGAGAAAAATGTAAAAATATACTATTTTGTGGAGAAAACTGACTCGCATTTAGTATAAAACTATGCTACGGCGTTCCATGGCTTTAAATAAGTATATCGCAAGATTGGTATTTATTTGGTTTTGGTCGCTGGAAAGAAGTTCAACAAACTTTGGAATATTCGGCCATTTTCGAAAATATTGTTTTATATATCTAATTCTTAAAACTTTATATAATTCGCATTCTAAAAGAAAATGAAATTCGTCTTCTAGTGTGTTACATAATATACATTTACGTTCATTTCTTGGAATCGGATGCGGTTTATTCCATCTGCCAGTTTCTATATACAATCTGTGTGACGATAAACGAAATCTTGTTAAAGCAGCTCGGTATTTACTGATATTGATTTGTTCTTTGTATTTCGAAAAACCGAAAGTAGCGAAAAGTTTATATGTGTCGGCCCTGGGTGACGCTTCAACTTCAGAATAAAATTATCTTCAAGTCTTCGTTTGATATCTGCCATAAAATGTTTTCATTTCCTACTTCTTGAAATACCCATGCATGATTTAAGCTTAGATTTTCAAGAATTGTTCTTACAGACGTTGCCCAATCAGTAGTTTCATTGTTTCGTTCAAAATCTTCAAGCATCAAATTGTATGTTTGTTTAATCAGTTTCACGTTATCGCATTTAATTATACCAGAATTTGAAAACTTGTATTATTCTTTGTTGTTTTAAAGGCATTCTACCTAAATATATACAATTTAACATGCCAATTCAACCAGTGGCCAGCTTTATTGTATTGAGAGCTACATTTATGAAATTTTGGGTCAACGGTAAAAATTTCTAAACCTTCATAACGACATTATTATTTAAGCTATTGTCTTCATATTTCGAACAACGCACATACGAACACTTGATATGCATTTGACATGCTTTTGACACCTATATTTAATATAAACAATTAATTTAAGTCATAAGTCAAATTCCTTAATAGTTTAGAATTATATTATATAAGAAACATATGAAATACTAGTAAGCGATTTAGTTTCTCATTGAGTTTTTTTTTACTAAGATCATATTAAAATGATATATACATATGCACGTGAGTGATAAAATACCTTTGTTCCTACTACTTATGTATTTGTATTATAAGTGCTACTATGCAATGCGATGTCATTGCGTTACACAAATGCTTCGGAAGTTATAATTTTGAAATCCCTCAGCCGATAGTAACAACAAATTGTATTTTTTAAATTCTAATTCATTATTATTTTAAGCAAGTTGCTTATTCCTATTTTATAAAATAAAGAATTTCGTCTTTTTTTAAATATTCTATTATTATATTATACATGTATATTAATAGTATATTCATAATACTGTTTTTTTTTACAAACTACACTTTGATTCGCTTACTATATTGGAAAGATGCCAAACAATAAAAGAGCGAAAAGCAGACTGTTCTTGCAGTTACATCTATAAAAAGGAATTACTTTTTTGTTTCTTGTCAGAAACATCTGTAAGCAAGAAGAACAATAGAAACATAATCTTAACTTTGTTTCAATGTAACATTATATAATATTTTAAATACACTTTTCATTATATACTCAGTTGCAAAAGAAGTGTGCAATGGGTGTCTTGGAAATTCTGTACACTTAATCAAAATAGTGGCAAATTTGGTTTCATGAAATGTATTTCCCACACAATGGTTTACTTTTTAATGGAAATTGATGATTATCACAATTTTGTTTTCTTGTAAACAGCGGAAGGGTGAAAAGTAAAAGTTGCAAGTTTGTGATTTTTTAACACTTTTTGTCTGGTCTAGTAACATATTACGTAATTCGGAACTGCCTCGGCTATTATCTATATTATCTATATCTATATTGGAAACAATACGGATTGAAAGTAGTTCTACCACGTGGTTTCAGATGTAAACAGAAACAGAGATAATGTAAAACGAATGTATATATTTGACATCTAATGTATGTTCCGGTACTCTTATGCTTAAAAATATGTCTGACAACAATTTGTAATTTAAATATGCCCACTGATGTTCAATTTTAAACAAATCCGACTAAATGTCAACAGGTTGGTTTTTTGTACTTTCGGTTTCTACAACCATGATCATAAATATATAATGTATTATTTGCTTTTGTACCTATGAATTCATTTATTTATGTGGACTTTTACTACATATATTGGAAATAAACTTGTCAACAACTCACAGCATTAAATTACTATTAATTTACATGTTTAGTTTCTTAGCGTAGGTTAGACCGAAATACCGCAGCCGTTCTGTGTATTCGAGATCCTTATCCGAAGACTGCTACTCTTGTAGCGATGCAAGATGTTTTTTTAGTCTAGGAAAGAGGAAAAAGTCACATGAAGCCAAGTATGGAGTATACGTTGGATGGTCAATGCCGCTTTATCCCGAAAATATCAATTACTAGTACAGTACCTCCTTTGTGTGCAGGAGCGTTGTCAAGCAGAAATTACAAGCCTGTCATACCACTTCTAACGTTTCTGAACACAACATCTCTTTAATACTTGGATGTGACAGAACTGCCTCTAGAAACTGGAATTTGGACAACAGTTCTACGGGTATTTAAAGAAATAACATTATTGACACTTGTCAATCGCTTTGAATGCATGGTCGACGAACATTTTTGTGGCCCAAATTTTATTGTTACGCTTGCGAACAGGCGTAAAATATTAAAATCAGCTTTCAACACCAGTCTTAATATTAAACAAAACAAGAGCGTCTGCCATATCAATATTCAGAAAACATTTTCAGAAA